TATCACCGGTTCTTTAATTAATGGGCAAAAGGCGGTCGTGAATATCACAGGCATCCGACCATTCTTCGATGTTGAAGTACCTGAAAACCATTCCCCCTCTTCACTTAAGACCATATTAGTGCATATTTTATCAGTTACTCTTAAAAATACAACAAAATTTGGGTTCGAGGATATTCGTGCTTTTCCACTTCAGGGTTATTATACAGAAAAGAAAGCATATATTCGTATAAGGACGTGGAACCACTTTGATCGATATAATGCCTAAAAGCAGTTCGTGAAGTCGGCATTCGTACAGCCTCGGATGATCTAAACTGCCAGTATTATTACCGCAAAGTAGCTCGTGAAGAACGATTACCTCTTTCAAGCTGGGTCGTATTAAGCAATTATTTATACGAATTCACCCCGGATGGTACTTACCTATTTCGACTATCTGTGGATAATTATAATCCAATAAGTGAGGACGATTATAATAATCCATTATTGTCTTCGGCACTTACGAGGGATCGAACCCTCATACTCACATGGGATATTGAGACATATAGTTCACGAAAAACAGGCGAGCTGCCTAACGTGAAATATGATGAAGACAAAGTGTTTATGATTTGTATGACAGTGCATTGGAAAGATGATCCTGAACCATTGAAACAAATCTGTCTTGTTGACGTCGAGACAGCACCAGATCCGGACTGGATCACAATTATATGTGGGTCCCAAACCAATTTACTAAAAGCCTTCGCCTTGTGTAGGAAACTTTTATCCCCAGATATACAAATAGGGTTTAATGACTCCCAATATGATTGGCGGTTTATTGTAGAGAAAGCTAATAAATTAGGGGTTCTCGAATGGATGTTTAACCATATGTCATTCAAGCCATCGAGCCTGGAAAAAATTATAAAATGGGAATATCGATATAATATGATAAAAGTAAATGATGGAAAATTCCATTCGAAACATCTTAAAATTCTGGGATGCATAGCTATTGACGTCTGACCCTGTTTTATAGGAATTTATTCTAAGGCTGAAAAGAGTAGTTTAGCATTTTACCTAAATGAATGTGGGCTCGAAAGTAAAATGGATATGCCTATTCACCGCATGAACAAATATTATGAAAGGGCATTAAAAGAGCCAGATTCCATGTCGGCCGAACAAATGCGCGAAGTGGCCAAATATTGTATTATCGACGCTCTTAGTTGCCAGCGGTTAATGGTAAAGCATAATGCAATTAATGAGTATAGAGAGGTGTCATCCGTAGCCTTCTTATCATTATTTGATGCACATTATTTTGCGGGAGGTATGAAGGTTTGCAACCTTTTAAGTGCTAGCGCATGGCAAAGAGGGATTCTAACCAGTATGATTTCAAGCCAACAAACAGAAACTGGAAAATACCCTGGAGCTTATGTTTTCCTACCAGTAAAGGGTCTCGAAAATAGACGTCCTGTAACTGGTTTAGATTTCGCATCGTTATATCCGAGTCTTATCATAACATACAACCTCTCACCGACAAAATCATTTTATCTCAAGAGCATGCTGGGTCCCAGAGGGACCAAAAGCTTCATAAGATAGAGTTTCTATTTAATAGCATCCCCCAACGTGCCTGGTCAGTTCAGCATAACAATATTTCTGAAGAAAAGGGACTCTATACTAGCGTATTGGAAAATTTATCAGGTAAACGAAATGAGATGAAGAAGCGTCTCACTCCTTTGAAAGAGAAAAAGGAAGACATGGACTTGGTAATAAGTTCAATGGATAAAGGTTTGTCATTATCAGAAGCCATCGAGCAGATCTTAGCGAATGCAGAGGTAGAAAAACGTAGCGGTCTTACTAAGAATTTATATCATTTTATTCATAAAGAAAAGCATGAATTCATAGCAGAATATGATTCTATTTGTTTCGACTGTTCTTGTTTGGATAAGAAACAATATGCTTTCAAGGTATATATGAATACATTCTATGGTACGGCTGGAGATAGTAAATCCCCCTTCTTCTTGCGTGCACTTGCTGGGGGTGTTACTTCGGCTGGACAGAGAAATATCAAACTCGTTGCGGATTTCGTCAAGAGAAAGGGATTCGGGATAAAATATGGTGATACAGATTCCTTGTATCTAGTCTGTCCAGAAGAACGCTTCCAGAGGTGTGATGAGGCTTATGATAGTGGCAACGGGATCTCAAAAGAAGAATATTGGTCTCGAATGGTGGAAATCTCTATGGTGGAAATGGAAAAACTTCGTGATGAAGTTAATGTCTTTCTCAAGGAAGATAATGGATCCCCTTATCTTAAAATGGCATATGAGGAAGTCTTATTTCCGGTAGTATTTACTGGAAAGAAAAAATACTATGGTATCCCACATGAAAGCAAGCCGAACTTTAATAAAAAGCCTTTCATTCGGGGGGTTGAGATTGTGAAACGAGGTCAATCTACTCTTTTCCGCAAAATAGGAAAGCGTATTATGGATGAATCTTTAAAGGTGAATAATATACGTACCTTGCATCAAATCATAGAGGATGTTCTTAGGGAATCTGTAAAGGATATTTCTCGGGCGGATCTTAATGATTTAATTAAAACTGCTGTCTGGAAACCAGAGAAAGATAATAAGTCTGTCCAGCGTTTTATGTCACGAATGCGAGATAGACATACCTGTGAAGAGGCAGACGCCAAACGGCTCATAAAAAAGGAACTAGCACCTGAGCCTTATCTTTATGAAATCCCAGAACCAGGCGAGCGGTTTGAATATGTTGTAGTCGAGAATGATTCGTCACAGAAGGTAGGTGACAAAATGGAGTACCCAGAAATGGTCAGACAACTTGGTAAAAAGATTGATATTAGTTATTATCTGAATAGTGTTGTCAGCCTCTGTGCACGTTTTATAAATT